GTTGTCAGTCATCTCAGGGCGGACATTTAATTGGTCAGAGATGAAGCGGCTCCAATCTAATTGTGGGAACAAATTACCGGCAATCACGTCTAGATTGAGCAGCAAAATTCCGTCACCATGTCGCGTGGTTATATTGCCGCCCGTGTTCATTATTTTTCTAATTTTGGAACCTTGTTTTTCTAAGCACCTTCTTCACATTTTTCAACTGACAGAACAAAGCTAATATAAGAGAAGAATTCTTATTCTTGAATTTAGTAAATGACAAGTGTATTCGGTAGTGACAAAAAGTTCCATTGGGTTCACTAACCACATACTCTGTTTTAGTGACCGTTTTCGTTCATTTTCATGCAAACTGCTATTTTAAACGTATTTGTGTACGCACGGCCTGACCTATTAAATTAAGTGCTAAAAGCTGGCCCGCACACATGGATCATCTGAAATCTCTTAATCTGTGACACGGTGATCTGTTATACTCTTATAACCTTTCACAGGAGATTATTCTCGCCGTGAATAGATGATTGTAATGTGTTAAACCCACGTCTGTGCGTGTGTTTGTCAGTGTGTGTATGGCAATGTACGTGTACGTGTGTGTTTGTATGTTTCCCCGTGTTTGTGTGTGTGTTTGTGTGTGTGTGTGTGTGTGTGTGTGTGTGTGTTTCTGTGTGTGTGTGTGTGTGTAACTCCGTGTGTATGTGTGCGCGCGCGCGTAGTTTTACACCTGTGTGTGTCGAGGCTAACTCAATAACAATAGGTTTTAATTAATTTTGATCAACATTCTTAACATAATGAACACATTCTAGCCCCACATTCTAGTACTAGTATTTTAGGCCGGGGAAGGGAAATGAGAGTGTTTTGTTCTTGTCTGTGTGTGTGTAATCTATGTGGGACTAACAGACAACAACTCACCCGGGGAACCAAGCTAAACAGATGAAGGGATTTCCCCACCAGGAGTTAAGGTTAGCCTGACTAAGTCACGCTCCTGGTGCCCCCCCCCCCCGCAATTAAGGCAGCCATGGCATGGGGATCGTTAACTCTCGGCAGAGAGAGCTTGTGTAAGCACAGGAGCGTTAAGGTGTGGTGAGAACGTTAAGTCGAAGTGAAGCCCTGACGCAAGTAGAACCTGTCACGTACACATTTTGGTCTTAAGAGAAGTGAACCATTTGTCACGATTTCTTTCTGCTCTCTGTGCATGGGCGATGGATAAGGATCGCATAGAGGAAACTTTGATTCAATGCTAGTGTGGGACCACCAGTTGTCAATTGCACACACGCAGACATACTACTAGTAGTATGCACACACACACATATATACACATAATCACACACGCGCGCGCACACACACAACGTGTATAATCGACTACCTCAACATCCAACCTCCGACCTGAGATATTTTGTTAACTTTCACTACAAAATATGCCTGTTTTTTCCCTGTTTTTCAGTACCTCAGGAGGCGTCAGGAAGAAAGGCGAACAAGAGTGAAGAAGGTAATTACAATAACCAAGGAACTTTAAATTCGGTGTAACAAAGCTGACGATTAAATCTAATCAAATACATACATACAAGTCGTTCGGTGTATGTGTGTGTGTCTGTGTGTGTGTGTGTGTGTGTGTGTGTGTGTATGCGTATGAGTCCGCGCGTGTGTGAGTTCTATTTTTCAAATACTACTAGTATATTCTTTACGTTGTACGAAATGCTAGTTGCACTTTCTATACTCAACAGTACCGGCGGCGCAACCGTGTATCCTCAGTCAGCATCCCCTGCCCCACCCCTGGGGCGGACCCCACCCCCGGGGCGGACCCCACCCCCCACAGACGGAGGGACAGGTTCGCGTGCGCGGCCGACGACCCCCCTGGCCCCGAGGATGACACTGATAGGCGCACGGAGAACATTTCTGAAGCTGACGTCAACACCGTGGGCATGTCGGCACGAGGAAGGAGCAAGGCGGCGAAAAAGAGCAAGAAGAAGCAGAAGGAAGGAGGGAATGAGAGTGTGGACAAACGACGGCAGCGTTCGAAATCACTGGGGGACGGAACCATTCGTGCTAGAGGGGACAAAGGTAGGCAGAGGAGCGTGTCTGAAGGAGCACAGGTGGTTGGAGAAGGAGCAGAGAGACTCAGTTGTATTTCGGGTAGTACCGTGAGCGGCGGTGAAAGAGTCAGACAGCGTAGTTTATCAGGCGGCAGTTCCCAGAGCGGCGTGAGCGCACAGGGACGAACTAGGAGCGTCTCTATCGAGAGACAGAAGAGCGTCCCCGCAGGAGGAGGCACTCCGCAGAACTCCCCTCTCGGAAGAGAGCGGCTCCGGAGTTACTCCGGAGCAGGAGGGAGCATGGCGAGGCTGAGGTACGCCAGGAGACTCAGCCTCAACGCCGAGAAGGCCAAGCGGGAGATGAAAATGAAGAGGAAGAAGCCCCCGAAACGCAGAACAACGAGGAATTTTCAGGCGAAGGTGGAATTTGTGGATGAGAAGGAGGAAGGTGCAGTACAAGAAGGAACGCAAGGAGGCGCGCGTAGCCACAGAGAGAGGGCGCCAAACCGGCAACAACTACAAAGCGGCGGGGAAAGGAAGGAATCGGATGGGTCACCAGTAAAAAGTCGTGACGACGCCACTACCGAGGAAACCGACCTGGAGAGGTCGTCTTCATCCCTGGCGGGCCTGCAGGACAGCCGAGGGGCGGTAGGCTGCGCTGCTACTGCTGCTGCCGAGATGGCGGAATACGCCAGTCCAGTCAAACGAAAAGGTACATGCATGATTTAGAGCTACATGTAGCCTCTACCAGGCTTCGGGAGGCGACTGGAAAGACTGCGGGATCGGCGGGAAACTGAACTCTCTAGCGAAGCAACTCCTCTGGCATGCTATTTCTCTGTTTGGTCACTTTCCCCTCTTTCCAGCCGCCTCCCGAGAAGCCTGGTAGAGGCTATTGAATAAAGGGCAAGAGAGCTAGTGTTATGTCTTTTTTCATGTTTACTTGAATGATTTTCCCGCTTCTGAATCACAGGATCTGGGCTTGAATTCTGGTCAACTCTTAAATGGCATTTGATAGGAGGAAGCAAGGCAAAAATGTTCCCGATATGATAAGTATACTACTAGTATTATATGCCCAATTACAAATGTTGCGAAGGAGTAATTATTCTCTCTGACTTGCTCTACTTTACAGGACCGAGGAAAAAATGCGAATCGTCAGTGTGAGAATGTGTAGTTGTGCGGACTATATGATGGTTTTCACAGATCCCATTGCATGTTGGGTGCATCTGTGAAAAGGCCTATGTTAACGTTGACATCTTCAACGCCGAACACCGTTGCAGAAACTCAGAAGCAAGTCAAGCAAGTTCGCTAAGTTATTCGACGGAAACAAACCAGCTTGCCCTTCGTAGTACCTATGACGTTAGAACGTTTTTATGCACTTTTCAAAGACTAGAGGATAGGTGCTTGTTGGTGCCAATGTTTTCGTTGCTCCCTATTTAAACATCAGGAGCTTTTCTCAACACGACATTCTATAGGTTTCAAAGAAGGAAAAGTCCTCAGTGACAGTGTAGCTTAGGGTTTATATCGTATAGTGTAACGTGCCGGTCTTTTGAATTTTTCAAGTGTTGTTCAATAAATATTGTTTGATTGATTGATTGATTGATTGATTGATTGATTGATTGGTTTATTGACTAATTGTTTGAGAAAACTGCTTTGAGCAAACCGTGTCCCGCCTCGGCAAGCAAGTGAGCGATGTCTTAACAGGTGGCCTGGCTTATGGCTTGCTTTCTAAAATAAGCAGCCAGTATTGACGATAACCTAAAATATTGAAAGCCTTGCTTTTGGCTTAGGTTGCCAGGTGGGCTTAGGTTGCAGTTCGAACCCTGGAGATGTATTAAAGACATCCAATGCGATTAGGTAGCAAAACTGGCAATATTCTGAATAAGGCAATCTTTATGATATTGACACATACTGCTTCACATTAGCATATATTTCAATCAGCATTTCATACTTTGGGCATTTAAAACTGCAGAAACAAGCCCTAAAAACCGCACTGGATGCCAAAAAGAGAAAATGGATAAGAGAAAAAAAAATCTGCCCCGTGTGAGGATCGAACTCACGACCTTGAGATTATGAGACTCACGCGCTGCCGAACTGCGCCAACGAGGCTGATGCCAGCGTCAGGCAGGAACGGAATAAAACCCTGCGTCTCGATCGATAATTACGTCACACGACGTGTGCGTACGTAGCAGGGCTGGCGTCAAGCGCGCGAAGCACGTCAGCAGGACGTACTGCGCCAGCGCGAAACCCTGATTTTTCGCGTTTTTCGTTGGATGTTTGGTCACCGTTGCATCAGAATTTTGCCTGTTGCAGATGACATCTTTTCCGACACAACATTTGGAGACCAAAGACACGATGTTAACCTTACATGTACATGCTTGAATACGACCTTATATGACACGTTTTGCCGAGGTGCTGTGCACAATACATTACGGTGCAGGTACAGTATGTTCTGCCGACGGGCTAACGCGCGTTTAATAGGTTCAAGCAAGGACATTTAGACAGGAATCTACATCCCTCCTAAAATTGCAACATTATGTAACCCAACACCAGTTACCATGGTGACAGTCATCAACATATCAGGCCATTGGCCAGGTTAGTGTTTGGAACAGAAGAAGAAGCGTAGTAAAGACAATATGTTTTCCTTCGGTACTATAACATGATAATCATTGTATTAATACTATTATCAATCTTGTCACTAGTGACACTATCATCTTTTCGTCGCTCAATATTTTCTGGTTTCATCTAGATGTCGTGCGTCGTTGTGTGTGCATTGTTACCAACAATGATGACACAAAATATTGCGGATATTGTTGACATGTTATTGCACTGACTATTGCATGCATATCAAATTCTTTATAGTGTAATTTCATACTCATTATATATACTTACGCTGATACGATAGCTCTAATGGTTTGTTCATTCAAAATATTCTTCAAGGATGGCATATCAGCACATTGAGAACATTAAAACATCTTTTCTTAAAAGTATCCTGAAGTATAAGAAGAATTAAATTCAGTACAAAACGCCAACGTAGACGTATACGGTATTATTAATTACATCGCAGGCTATCAATTTTACCGCACTTTTAATCCAAATCATCATGTAGGCATCTAAAAGCAACTGCGTAAATTATTAATTACGCACAGGCCTCAAGATATTATTAGTCATTAATCAGTCATTATATCAGGAGATAAATTGCATGTTTGTGGATACTAGTGCATTTATGTCCGACGTTCAAACACAAGACCACGCAGTGGCCAGGAATTGCACATTCCTTTCTTCATACATGTTTAAAGTTGAAGTGGAAGACCAACAAGCAATGTATCCCATCCTCTACAAGGCTTCGAGAGGCGACGAAATAGAGAGAGAACATGCCAGGTGAGTTGGTCCGCTAGAGAGTACGGTTTGTCGTGCCCTGGCATGTTAGCTGTCTATTCGACTAATTTATACTCTTTTTAGCTGCTTCCCGAAGCCTGGTAGAGGCTAAATATCTCCTATAGTTTAGCCTGTGGTGAGTCCTGTGGTTTGGCTTTCCCCATGTAGAAGACAGGTTTGAAGTTGGGGTCAGTGACCGCAGGCCGGTTCATGGTAAAGTCGTCGATCGGGTACTGCGTGCGCCCGTCAATCGCCAGCTGACTGAGAATTTTGCCCAACAGGGAGGCAAACCTAGGAGAAAAACAAAAACATAAATCACCATGGAAGCGACCTCTAGACGTAGTACTGGTGTGTTTTCTTGTGCCAGAAAAATATTAGCCTCTGTCAGGCTTTGGGAGGCGGCTGGCCATGGAAAGAGTGGAGATCGGTCAAATAGAGAGAGAGAGAGTTGGTCCGCTAGAGAGTACATTTTGCCGCACCCGAAGCGGTAAACTGTTCTTTCCAGCAGACCAACTCCCTCGGCATGCTATCTCTCTATTTGACCGACCTCTACTCTTTCTAGCCGACTCCCGAAGCCTGGTAGAGGCTAAAAAATAGTTCTCCGTGACTTTTTATCTGTGCTATAGCTATCAAGAAAATGTGACGAATGAAAAAGGCGTCCTGTACCTAAAACTGCACTTTTTCTAGTTTTTTTTTCTGAAGTGTCTAGTAATAATTTCTACTGACTTGTAGGCATGCCCAGCGCCACAGCAGATGATGACGTCAGGCCAGCCCTTGGTGGCCAGCGTGTCGATGACGAAGTGCCTGTCCATAGTCATGGTGTACAGACACGTCTTACTGTACATGATCGGGCCCAGGGACTGGAAATACAAGCAGGAAATACCATGGGCAACTCACAAAAGTTTACACCAAAGGAAGTTTGTGGCCTGGACTAATTTTACATACTACAACTGATTGAGGTCTTTTCGATTTTGTGCTTTTTCTTCATTGGTCAGTTGCTTTGTTCAACGCTAAATTAAGGTTGTATAGTTTTGAGGTCTGATGCTAGCTATTTAATACAAATTTCCAAATAACGTTGGCTTCTAGTTAACAATAACATTGCCTAGCGATTTTGTTATGGTAGTGGTCGCGTGTTTACTATATGCAAACAGTGTAACCTTCTTGGTAGACGTAACATTGGAAATATAGAAACAAAAATAGAATTTAATTGACATTAGAGTCTGATTAGATCGCATGGACTGTTCTTAACTACTACTAGTACTTAAAAACAGACTTTATTGCAGAAGCGACAACGAACACCATGCCCTACCCTTGGAATGTATTTCTGCAGAAAGTCTATACAGGCCTTCTCTCTGACCGGGTCTGGTACGTAGGTCCTGGTTTCCGGTGTGACGCGAGGACCCCCCGCGTCGATGCCGATCTTACTTCCGGTGTTCCCGTGGATGGGCAGCCCGTAGAAGTCGTAGTCAGGTGTGTGGCTTATCCAGGTGGGGTACCTGTACGGACAGACAAGGTGTGTGAGAGGTTGACTTTCATTGACCATTATTATAAGGACCGCAACTTGCTTGGCAATCATGCAGGTATACTGCTTTAGTGGACTAACTTCCCTGACATGATGTCTGTCTATTTGGCCAGTTTGGCCAAATATATGCCGTAAATTGTGGGAAAAAAATATTGAAAAACGATCATACTAATGTCATAGAATGCCAAAATCAATTCCAAAGGAAAAGAATAAAATGTGAAGAAATAAATATCAAGAGTCTATTATTCACAAAACCGTACCCTGTGTCTTAAGTCCTTCATGACCAGGTAGATTTCATAACTTTTTTTGCCAAACATTTTTATCCACACGCTCGCATCGGTTTTGGGGTTCTCAGAGGATGTCATCCATATAATAAAATCAACATGGCCTTAGTGTCATTACTGACTCTGTATCGGTATTGCCAGTTACACTAGCGCCCCTTTTATAGTTGTTCCTGCAGAATCTTCCGGCTTGGTTCTGTACCCTTTCCAGTTTACCTTGTTGGCCTATTGGGCATTCCTACAGATTGCGCCTAATAACTCCCAAAGTCTGTTTGGCCTTAGCAGTGATGTTGTTCACATATGCGTGCCCCACTTCAGGCTACCCAACATCAATGAGACTCACCTCTCCTTGGTGAACTCCTTGACGTGCGGCGTGGCGAAGTAGGTGACCTGTTCCTGAGTGACGGCCACGGGGATGTGTGCTCCCACAGACCGCAGGACGTGGTTAATCCAAGCGCCGGCCGCCACCACCACACGCCGGCAACGGAACTCTCCCTTACTGGTCCGTACCTGTGTGTTACAGCCATGTACATACGTGAAAAAACAAGTAAAATACATCAGACGTATGACCTGTTCCTGTGTGACGGCCACGGGGATGTGTGCTCCCACAGACCGCAGGACGTGGTTAATCCAAGCGCCGGCCGCCACCACCACTCGCCGGCAACGGAAGTCTCCCTTACTGGTCCGCACCTGTGTGTTACAACCACACTTTTCAACTTACATTTCGCTTTCGGGACCTCTATCAGGTTTCGGGAAGCGGCTGGAAGGAGTAGAAATTGGACAAATAGACAGTTAACATGCCAGAGTACACTTTTCAGCTCTTGAACTGTTCTCTTAGCGCGGACCGACGCTGTTGCTCATGTTATCTGCCTATTTGGCCAATTTCTACTCTATCCAGCTGCTTCCCGAAGCCTAGTAGAGGCTAGTGAGAGATTCAGCATGAAAGTTTATCTGTGCTGGTACAAGTCATTATGAAGCAAAGACTAAACTTCATCTCCAACACTAGAACACAAAAGCTATTTGGCCAATTTCCACTCTTTCCAGCTGCTTCCCGAAGCCTAGTAGAGGCTTGTGAGAGAGTTAGCACGAAAGTTTCTAAAGCCTGGTCGAGGCTAGGTTCTCACCAGCGTCATTCCGTTCTTCATCCTGTCGATCTTGAGCACGGCGCACTCGTCCATGACGGTGGCTCCGTGCGCCCGGGCCAGCTGGATGTGTGCGGAGTTCCCCCTAGCGGCGTCCACCAGTCCTGTATCTGCCTGGTACAGCCCCACCGTCTCCGCGCCCAGCTCGAACTGTGGGAACCGCCGCCGGATCTCAGGCCCGTCCAGCCGCTCATACCTGCAAAGTGTAGCGACTTAATTATCTCTTAATTAATCTGTAGCGCCTTAAGATTAACCTCTAGCGTCCACCAGTCCTGTATCTGCCTGGTACAGCCCCACCGTCTCCGCGCCCAGCTCGAACTGCGGGAACCGGCGCCGGATCTCAGGCCCGTCCAGCCGCTCGTACCTGCAAAGTGTAGCGCCTTAATTAATCTGTAGCGCCTTAAGATTATATATTAAATCTCTGGCGTCCACCAGTCCTGTATCTGCCTGGTACAGCCCCACCGTCTCCGCGCCCAACTCGAACTGCGGGAACCGGCGCCGGATCTCAGGCCCGTCGGTCCAGACGCTCGTACCTGCAGAGTGTACAGTCTTAAAGATTAACTCCACATAGATCTTTCAGCGTCGCGCGTTACCATCTCGTGCACGGGAGTATCCGAGTGTATCATCACTTTTTTGAGGGGCAAACGTATGAAGAGCGACCTTTCAATCAATTGTAAATGTACGGGAGCATCGTGAAGCAACTATCCTCTTCGCCACGAAACATCACGGTGTTGTTAGAGCGTTCTAATACAGTTTGCCATTTTGCGATATGGCATCGACCAGCAGGTCATCGATCGTTTCAAATGGCAAGGATCGCCAGTACACACGAGACGGAAATGCATTAGCTATATCGGCGGCAAAGTGGTATTACCAATAACAGAGAGTCATATTAAGTTAAACATAAGATACATAAATCTAATACAATTGATAAAATTTCTTAGAATAATTAAATACCACATGTCAGCATCGTATATATAATTATGGTCCTTACGGGTAATCTCCAAGCAGATCCCTATCGGTGGCAAAAAGACAGTATCAAATTGGCCAGCCAGTATCCATTAGCCAGAGAAGCTCCGGATCCATTAGCCACCGACGGGTGGGGATCAGGACAAAAAAAAACGGCTATATATAAAAAGGTAACGATCATTCCCCACAACCTCTGCTTGGAGAGTACTTACGGGATGCCCTGCGCGTCCATAGCTTTGGCGTACTCCTCCATGAGCCATTCCTGCGGTCCGCCCTTCAGGGTAAAGTCCAGTCCTCCAGTCTTATAAACCAGCTGCAGACCGGACTCTCTCTCTACCTCCTCCCAACTGCGGAGAGACGGATGGAAAAAATATATTTAAGATAGAAATAAATAACCAAGAGTCCAGCCTTCTTGGCTTTAGACCGCTCCCCAAGATCCGCTACCCCGCCGGACCTTGGGGAGCGGAGTAAAGCTGGTAAGTAAGGCTGGACTCCAGGCTAAGAAATGAAGGAAAAAAACACCAAAGGTCTAGAAAGGTTACATTTTCAAAACAAATGTATAATGTTAACCTTCACGTGGTCTAGCCTAACAAACTTTGTTTGTTTTTACTTAAACATCCATATTACTTGTATATACTGACATTTAACTACATAATGAAACCCAACACCACAGGGTGTCAATGGCCTTATGTGTTTGGAGAACAAGAAGAAACATAAAAACAATATGGTTTCCTTCTGCAAAGATAAACATAATGAAGAAAACAGAACTTTCCAAAGGGTATTTGGGAGGACAGTCACCTTGGAGTGGGCCATATTCCTGATTCCTTCACGTGCTGAGAAATTGTGAATTACTTTATATTAATAGAATTTTATATCATACGTTGAAAATTAAAACCAACTCACGCCCTGTATGTGTCCCTCACGATCCTGGTGTACCGTGGGTCATGGTAACACAGGCGTCTGTGGGTGGGAACGTGAACAAACAGTTACAAATTATGTTTAAAGTTAAAACTTTTGATCCAACACAAAAACTTGTCTCACTTAGGGCTTTCGACCAGTCACTCTGGTCTTCCTCAGTAGACAAATTATCATGTCATGCATTTAAGACATGTATACTTGTTTCTCGGAAGTCTCGTTACATAGTGCTCCGCTTTCAAAACATTTTCTCATTTAATCGTGAATTTTGTACCCTTCTGAAAACTATGTCATTGCGCTTTCGAGTTGAGCGATGTGCCTAGTTTCTGTTTAATTCTGTGTATCTATCTAAAGAGAATGTTTTCACAAAACCAAGTCTTTTGTTCAGCCGAAGTTTCGGTGACCGTCTGTTACCTTCCTCAGGGCAATTCTGACTGGTTCACATTGCACTGCAGTACAGGTGTCGCTGCTTATAGATGACTTCCCAAACGTTAAATATTTACATATCTACACTGTTACAGGGAACTATCTATAGAACTTTCGTTACATAATCAACAATATTCTGTTGGTAACATTAAAAGTTGTAAAGCTGACTTACATGATTCTGGAGTGGTCCTGTGACCCCCCGTTGTCATGGCCCAACTTGAACTGTTCCAACCCTAGCACACCTGGGAACGAGAATAGAACGGACTGTCGTCACGGGCGATTCCATTTCTACCGTGGGTGGGTTCAGGTGTGTTCCGGGGGCACCGCTGATATCCAATATCACACTGGTGCCTTTCTTGATCATTTTTCCACCCTCGACAATATCGTGGTGTTCAAAATGTCTCTATTTCCGTGATTCCAGACCAGATTGTCGAGCGTGTAGACTGTAGTGTTTCTCTGTATGTTTTGTTCACTTCTGTCCTTGACCCTATCTAAGAACACGGCACGTGAGTCCTTTAAAATACATGTAGGCCAGGGTTACCGTGAATACTTGTAATGCAAACACGAACAATAGCATTGTAATGTTACGTGTTTTCCCTGACTTTGACTTTGACCAAAAAATTAAATGTGTCGTCCTAATAATGTTACAGTGAAGCTTTGAAATACAACAGACTGTAGAGTTTAATTAATAGAACTGGTCACGTACTAGTGCAAAGCTTTTAGAGGCGGGCACACCAAACGGCAGTACCTAATGCAACACTAGCCTCCATAGCATGCCAAAAACTGGGGGTTTGGGGGTCTTCAGGGTCGTTGGGAGCTTTTATGTGCAATTTTTCTGATTGCATATAGACAACATAGCCGGCCTGGTTGAATTACGATCTGGGATAATCAGCCGAAGACCGTGCACCAAACCCCCTGTCCATATAAACCTGCTACAGAGGCTAACGTACTAGTAATCTCCAAGCAGATCCCTTTCGTTGTCAAAAAGACAGTATCAAATTAGCCAGGCAGTACCCATTAGCCAGAGAAGGTCGCCAGCCACCGACGGGTTGGTGGGGGTAGCGACAAAAAAACGGCCATGCATAAAAAGCTAACGATCATTCCCCCACAACCTCTGCTTGGAGAGTAGGCTAACGCACCACCCACCTTTCCCCGCCCTCTTGGCCAGCCAGTACACAGCCCCACTGCCCACACCTCCGCACCCGACCACGATATACTCGTAGTACGGCACATACGCCATGACTCAGCTGTAGCCTGCAGGTATAGCGTTTTGAACTTTGGACTGGCGAAACTCTAGATCTGTGGCCGCAATCTGACCTTCATCTAATAGCTTGGGTGTCTGCCGCGTTAGGGCTGCATCTTCTAGTGTTGTATGGGGTGTGTCCAGCCTTATGTCTATATTATAGATCTACACCTGCCACCGCTACTGTTAGATAAATTTAACGATTATATATCGGATATAGAGCTAGATAATATTTACCTTTCCTGATTTTTCTCATAGATTTGAAGGAGGATAAAGAGCTTCTATCAGCTATGTTATAGCCCTGAGTGAGAGTTCATGCCGCACTGTCTTGCTGCAGCCAGGCTAGACCGTTCAAGGCCATGTATGTATGTTTCATGTCAGCAGACCGCTTGTACCGGTTGGTACCATGCCCCAAACCGGTACAAGCCGGAATCCTTCGGGCCGCGCGTTGCGTTTGCTCTTGCAATTCTTTATCAGCCGGAAGATGTCGCTGCTTAATACTGGTACTGGCACGCAGCATGATAACAAACTGACCTTGAGCTTCTCTATTAAAGGCACCCAGTGCAGTTTTTAGGGATTGGAAATCAGATTTTTCACTTGCACCCCCATGAAACTCCTTCCTCTTCGCCCCCGCCGTTCTGCTTCGCCCCCGCCCCGTTCTGCTTCGCCCCCGCAAAAAATCTGCTTCGCCCCCGTCGTTCCTCTACGCCCCCGGCGCAATTCTGCTTTGCCCCCGTCCTTCTGCTTAGCCCCCAATGGCGGCACAGCTCACAGTCGACACGAAAATCGTCTGCAAAATAACAATAAAGGCTGTGCCGCCAAATTTAAAGTAGCCCATGCTCCGGCAAACATTCTGGACCACCTTTCTGCCAAGTGGCGTTGCACAAATCCTTCCCATTCAAAAGTTTACCCCTACCTCACGGCCCTTCAGTGGTTCTTACGTTTATAAGTACTGGCGGGAAATTTCACTCACGGCTGTACTTACAAACGCCAGTACTTATAAACGTAAGAACCAATGACGGGCCGTGAGGAAGGGGTAAACTTTTGAATGGGAAGGATTTGTGCAACGCCACTTGGCAGAAAGGTGGTCCAGAATGTTTGCCGGAGCATGGGCTACTTTAAATTTGGCGGCACAGCCTTTATTGTTATTTTGCAGACGATTTTCGTGTCGACTGTGAGCTGTGCCGCCATTGGGGGCTAAGCAGAAGGACGGGGGCAAAGCAGAATTGCGTCGGGGGCGTAGAGGAACGACGGGGGCGAAGCAGATTTTTTGCGGGGGCGAAGCAGAACGGGGCGGGGGCGAAGCAGAACGGCGGGGGCGAAGAGGAAGGAGTTTCATGGGGGTGACTTGGAAACCAGATTTTTCAAAGTCAATGTTCTAGTCACTTATCTACATACGAAGTTGAAACAACACTGCCCCAATGTATAGAGACATTCATGTAGCAAAAAATCCCGATGAAAAACTGTTACTGAAAGGACCTGGATTGATTTTTAGGGTACCACCCAGAAAATAAAGGACTAATCTTGTTTCTACAGTTTGAAATGCCTAAAGTATGAAATACTGATTCAAATTCAAATCATACAGATTGCCTTACTCAATTTTTTTTCAAGTTTTGCCGCCCTGTTTGAAATTGCATTTGATGTCTTTAAATAGTCTGAATGCTAGCCTAGAGGAAATAATATCTTTTCCTACTTCATATCAATTTTACAGCGCATTTATATCTAGGAATATAATGCTTGATAGTGTTAAACAATCACAGATAAAAGGTAACTTTTTTCAAATTTTATTTTACCACAGCAAGTCTACAATCTCTCTCTGAACTCTGAATTGAAGAGTTCGTTCCTTCCCATATGTTGATCTGATGTTTACACATACATGTATTATGTTATCAAAGAAACAAAAATTCCATCAAGGAAACTTAAACAATAGCACAAACTGAAAAATACAATGTAAAGGTTAGATATTAATTTCCATATCTTTGCTCATGTAAATCTGTACCCATGTTCACTTTATGGTATACACCATTTGTTCTACATTTTCTTCTGGTGACTTATAAGCTAACATGAGCTGGGCACATAAATTAAGCATCATTCATTCACTTAAACAAGGAGGTTATAACCTCATTGATTTAAATAGGCCTCTGTCTTTACCTCTGATACAAATGCAATTATAGATTCTTACAAATATCATTTACACAAGAAATTCCAAGCACTTGGGTGCACTGGCTAATTCACAACTATAACAATTACCTCCTCCTTACTTTGTGACTTACCAAAAATAAACACCTGCATTAACAATAATGTTACAGGCAATAATTCAGAACTTCTTACATTTCATGTAGAAATAGATACATTCCTCAAATGTTACCCATTTGTCACAAGATAGATGATACAGTTCCATATAAAAGTGTCAATATGTAGATATACTCAACAGAATTGTATGTTTTCATTTGCCCATGTTGACATATGCTTTCTTAGATCCAGCTCTACTTGACATTTCATAATACATAGGCATAGCTTTGTTGTGCAGTTGGACCTCCCTATTGTTAAGTAGTGACCAATACTGTCTTAAACCCTGATACAAATGCAATTAAAGATTATGACAAATATCATTTACACAGGAAATTCCAAGCACTTGGGTGCACTGGCTAAGTCACATCTATAACAATTACCTCCCTACTTTGTGATTTACCAAAAATAAACACCTGCATTAACAATGTTACAGACTTCTTACATTTCATGCAGAAATAGATACATTCCTCAAATGTTACACATTTGTCACCAAGATAGATGATACAGTTCCATATAAACGTGTCAATATGTAGATATACTTAACAGAATTGTATGTTTTCATTTGCACATGACATATGGTGATTTTATATCTCCAGTTCTACATTACATTTCATAATACATAGGCATATCTTTGTTGTGCAGTTGGACTTCCCTATTGTTAAGTAGTGACCAATACTGTCTTAAGCCCTGATACAAATGTAGTTATAGATTATGACAAATATCATTTACACAAGAAATTCCAAGCACTTGGATGCACTGGCTAAGTCACATCTATAACAATTACCTCCTCCCTACTTTGTGATTTACCAAAACATACATCTGCATTAACAATGTTACAGGCAATAATAATCACTTCTTACATTTCATGTAGAAATAGATACATTCCTCAAATGTTACACATTTGTTTCAAGATATGGTACAGTTTCATGTAAAGGTGTCAATATGTAGATATACTCAACAGAATTGTATGTTTTCATTTGCCCATGTTGACATATGCTTTCTTAGATCCAGCTCTACTTGACATTTCATAATACATACGCATTATAAGCTTTGTTGTGCAGTTGGACTTCCCTATTGTTAATTAGTGACCAATACTGTCTTAAACTCTGATACAAATGTAGTTATAGATTCTTACAAATATCATCTACACAAGAAATTCCTAGCACCTGGGTGCGCTGGCTAAGTCACATCTATAACAATTACCTCCTCCTTACTTTGTGACTTACCAAAAATATACACCTGCATTAACAATAATGTTACAGGCAATAATTCAGAACTTCTTACATTTCATGCAGAAATAGATACATTCCTCAAATGTTACACATTTGTCACAAGAGATGATACAGTTCCATATAAACGTGTCAATATGTAGATATACTCAACAGAATTGTATGTCTTCATTTGCTCATGTTGACAGCTCTACATTTCACAATACATGGGCATAGCTTCGCCCTCCCTATTGTTAAGTAGTGACCAATGTATTGGGCGTAAATTGTATATAGTGGAGAATGTATGTATTTAGGAATCATCGTTATCAGTACTCCATTGCAAGGATGAATCCAATGACATCATTTCTCTTTGGTACAATTTGCATGTGCATATGTTTACAAAACACACCTTAGTTGATGTTGTTGGTATGTTCATCTTAGGTACGATTTGCATGTGCATATGAGATAAGACAGCTAGGTAACATCCAGTCAACGTTCTTTATATACACAAAGTTATGAATAGACAGTCTGGTGCCTGCATTTTCCCATCTAAATGTTCTACATTGCAGTTACTAAGTGTAACGTTACATAATACGGTCAGCTAAGTGCTACAGTCAACCTAATCTCCAAGCAGATCATACTGTGGCAAAATAGTGCCCATTGACCAGAGAAGTGTCCATGGAGGCAGTATCCATGGAGACAGTGTCCATGGAGACAGTATCCATGGAGACAGTATCCATGGAGGCAGTATCCATGGAGGCAGTATCCATGAGACAGTGTCCATGGAGACAGTATCCATGGAGACAGTGTCCATGGAGACAGTATCCACGGAAACAGTATCCATGGAGACAGCATCCACGGGGGCAGTATCCATGGACACTCTGACCAATGGATACCGCCTCGCCACCGTATGATCTGCCTGGAGATTACAGTTAACAATTCCAATCATGCAACGGCCATCTTCCTACGGCATACTCAGTAGCGGGTGAACACAATGATGGCATCGCTCTTATCCACAACCAACTGCCCACTAGGACCCACTGCGATGGCATCCGGGTGGCCATTGATAGTGATATGGCGGACATATCTCCCCTGGCTAGTGTAGACCACTACGCGCTTGTTGAAGTAGTCTGCCACCAGGACGTGACCGGATGTAGGGTCCACACAGATGCCTTCGGGACGGTTCAGGTCGCCGCCGCTCGTTCCCGGCCCCCCGAACCTCCCCGTGTACTTTCCGTCTTCGTCAAAGATGTAGATGATGTGAGTGTTGACGTCGGAGACGTAGATCTTCCCATTCCCGTCAGTGGCGACGTGCGTCGGCGTCGCCATCCTGGCGCGAGGCACCTGCGGCTGCTGCCCGACTTCCCACAGTAGGTTACCGTCAGGCCGGAAGGCTTGCAGGCCGCCATTGTACCCGTCGGACCAGGTAACGTAGACGTGGAAGCCCACGGTCATGCCATGGAATGCCACCCCTGGTGCAGCCTCGGGGAGATCAAACTTGGTTTTGAGACGACCTTCCCTGTCCAGCTGCACCACAGTGCTGGGGCTGTGAGGGTACCCATTCATGAGGACCCAGATGTGGCCATCTCTGTCGATGGACACCTGATATGGCTCCTTTCCTGGGTACCCCGACGGCGCTTTCTGTGGGAACTCGTGCAGAAAGCCGCCGACCATGCTGTAAACCTGAATGCGCGCTTGGTAGGGATCGGCGACCCAGATCTTGTTGTCGGCGGAAACCGCGACTCCGCGCACGGCGCGCAGTTTGCCGGGCCCCGACTCATCGACGAAGGGGATGACGTAGGTCTTGCTGCCCTGGTCAGACGTTTCTGCACAAACAAACAAATAATACAAATAAATAGATAGAACTGATTGCGTTGCCAATGCAAGCTAATTCACAGCTGGATTGTCAAATCAACATTTGCTGATTAAATCATTAATATCCAATGTCGTACTTACTGCAGCAATAATACTAATAGAAACAACCAATTGCTTTTTACTTACTTGTGATATGTCTATGACATGAACTGTCAGGTATCAGCAAAGTGATACTTAGCTAGGATTACTAAATCATTATTACTGTATGAATGTCATAGGAGTACACAAAAACGTACCGAGAAAAATAGAACTAGAAAGGTATAAAGTTATAATGTTTACATTCGCATATGGTCTGCTCTGTTAATTCTTACTCAAACACATTCATATATATGGTCAGACAGGAGTCTAAATGACTCCTGCTTAAAATTGCAACATGAGATGTATCCCAACACCAGTTACCATGGTGACAGACGTATGGTTCAGGTCATTGGTCAGGTCAGAAACAGAACAGATACAATTCTTTCCTGGCCATCTTCGAAAGCAAGCATAAAAAAATCTGTTAATTTGGTTTAAGAACAAAGTATAATGACAAACCTTCCTTGGTGGTGAAGGCCGGCTTGTTGGTGGGTGCAGGTCCTGCCGCCCCCCTCCCCACCGTGACGCCGTGTGGTGGAACACGCCCGGGCACCGGAGTCACCTGTAGGGTCAGAACGGGACAAAATGTAAACACACTAACCGGCATTGGAAATGTACCATTGGTGACTTGTTGTTCACTGCGAAAGATCAATAAATAATCCTTGAGTCTAGTCTATTGCTGGAACAAGCAAAATTCTATGATCATGCTCAAATGTAAAAAAAAAAGTCTATCAGGAAAAATGGAGAAAACATGGTCCCAAGGACACAAATGGCTTCAGCTATATCGCTATATAAACATGTTTAAAACAAGTTTACGTATCTGTTTTTCAGACATCCATGTCATTTACTGGTATGCTATGTCTGTATATCGGTGATGCGACTAAGAAGTCAGTTATTATTATCTGTTGTTTACATGGCTACATGGTAGCCTCTACCAGGCTTCAGGGGCCGCTAAGAAGAGTAGAAATTAGCCAAATTGACAGATAACATGTCAGCGGATAACAAGTAATAAGTCCACAAAACCAGTACAGTTTGCTCCTCTGACTAGCTAATGCTTGGCAGACTTTCTGTACTGAGTACTGAGGACTGCCAAAGTGTCATCTTGACGTCATCAAGAAGACTGACAAGTACTGACCTTGATGACGTCAGCAGACGTCACCATGTCAGTGACCTTGACGACGTCAGCAGACGTCAACTTGTCAGTCTTCATGATGCCATCAGAAGACGTCACCTTGGCAGTGACCTTGATGACGTCAGGGATTGTCACCTTGGCAGGCTTCTTGATGACGTCAGCCAGCGTCACCATGTCAGGCTTCTTGATGACGTCAGCAGATGTCCCCATCTTGTCAGGACCTTCCCAGACAGCCGTACGGGTGATGTTCAGGGGTCCTGCTGTAGTTGCCGCCGCCTGTAGAAAAGGGGCAAATTAACATGTAAATCACTCTTTATTCAGTGAACAAGAAATATACAAGAACTCCAGGTCATGCCAGCCAGTAATGACCGAGCATGCAGGACAACATTAACAATGACAACGACTATGACATACACAGATGACATTTAAATTGATCAAACTTAGTGACAAGAGGTTTAAAATCTGGGATTAACTATATATTAATTGGACATTATTTTTAAAAAAAGCATCTGTATTACTGCAGTAATTATTTTCAATTAAAGAATAGCATTACAAAGAGTATTAACAATGTTAATCAAATGTGCCATATTCATATTTGAGGTGACAGGAAAATACAACAATCTTCATATATTTGTGTTCAAAAATTCATTCTTTCATACAACTATCGCAGAGTGGAAGTCGCTGTCACCAAGTACAGTAGGGGCATTATCATTTGATAGCTTTAAACAATGTTTAGAGTTAGATGTTCCAGGGTTAGGTGTAACAAGTTGATTGGTGTAATGTAGCCAGCTGCCGCCGCGCCGAGTTCTGCGAAGCTGGTGTGTTACGCCCTTTTTTCCTGCACCTGTTGCCACAGTGAATATATAGTTCCGTGAACAAGTCCACTTTTCTCAGACCGTAAACTGTCGCTACAGTGATGAACATTAAGTGAATTACAGTATTTACTCTGCAAGGGAGTCTGATGGAGACCATATCAACTTACAGTGCCGCGGTTCCCAGCTCGGAAGTTGAGTTGCGTCAGAAGTACAGGAACCACGATCAGCACCGTTACCATGGTAACGGTCGAAGCGATGACGCACTTCAGCAGGCGTGGTGACAGGCGATGACGTAAGCGTTCCCAGATGTTCTCTGGCTCGGACCCTAGTATGAGGTGAACAGAAGAAATGTACCATTTAATTTTTTGTTGGACCTACTTCAAATCTGTTACCAACACAAATGAAGTTTTATGAGATGAAATAAGACGTCCCGGGTTCGAGTCCCGACATGCCACCGATCTTGTGCCCTTGGGAAAGGCACTTTACACGATTTTCCTCACTTCGCTCAGGTGAAAATGAGTAATGTATTGTTCTCTGTGTTGGTGGTGGCATTAATATAAATTGAATGCCACCACGTCTTGTGATTACATGTTGGAATAAAAAAATAAGAGTGCTATTATCATTCTAATATTCAAATATTGATAATCATTAATAATAATAATCAAATGTACTCAGCTCAGCAGCTTTGCTTGCTTTGAAAAGCTTTCTTCTGTATACTAACAATGATTGTGAATAATACAACTCTATTTAGATTTTCAATTAATGCCACAAGCAGATTCTGTGGGGCAAGGGTAGTATATATTGGCCGCCTGTATTCATTAGACTCTTGTTTAAACCGCTGCCACCCCCACCCCTATGTGTTACAGTACTGTAAGCCAATGGATACATGTGGCCAATATAGACTCCCCTTTAGCTTGCCACACGTAGAATCTAGCCTCCTTCGCAGACTTGTGAGGCGGCGGTGTTAATATTTTTCGGGTAGAGACGCGAGTTATGCCGCGGAGGGACGGTTTTGCCGCCGAGGGACTTTGCCGGGGAGAGACGGCGGCGAAACCGCCCCTCCGCGGCATAACTGGCGTCGCTCCCCGAAGAAAATTAACGCCGCCACCTCACAATCTGCGAAAGGGGCTGTGGGTATACAGTCAATAGAGTGCTGTACATCTAGGCACATGTTACATGGTTTTGAGATTGACTAGAAGGTAATCATTTCACGTACATCCATGACTATTACATGTACTAGTACTCTCCAAGCAGAGGTTGTGGGGGGAATGATCGTTAGCTTTTTACATATGGCCGTTTCCTTTGTCGCTAATCCCACCGTCGGTGGCCGGCGACCTTCTCTGGCTAATGGATACTGCCTGGCCAATTTGCCACCGAAAGGGATCTGCTTGGAGATTACATGACTATCAAATAAAACAAAACCTGCTGTATTAAAGACAGACCTTGCGGCGGCAGCGGGGCGTGGTTTGAGCTGTACATCGGGTTTGGTCGGAGCTGGCGGAGGATGTCTTGCGGGTTCTGTAACGGATTGAGCGGCACTTGCTGGCCGCCCGGCACTTGCGGGCCGCCGGGAACGTGTGGGCCGCCACCGGGCCTCGGGGTGGAGGGAATAGGCGGTGCGCCAAGGACGTCCCGGTTCAGAGGCGGTCCGAGCCCCTGCCGAAACTGGTCGCCGTTCTCGTACGTGTGCGCGGCGGCGGTTCGTCCCCCCGGCCTCGGGGTAGAGGGGACGGGCGGGGCGCGGCCGGCGGCTCGGCCCAGAGGCTTCCCGAGACCCTGGTGGAACGTGTCGCCGTCCTCGTACGTGTGCGTGGCTGGACCTAGGGATTTAGAATTTACCTTATTATGAACGAATGAACGAATGAATGACTGAATGAAGGAATGAATGAATGAGGGAAGGAAGGAAGGAAGGAAGAAATCAAGGAAGGAATGAAGGAAGAAAGGAAGGAAGAAAGAAATGAAGGAAGAAATGAAGGATGGAAGGAAGAAAGAAAGGAGTGAAGGAAGGAAGGAAGAAATGAAGGAATGAATGAAGGAAGGAATAAAGGAAGGAAGGAAGGGATGAATGATATGAATGAATGAATGAAGGAAGGACGGAAGGAAGGAAGGAAGGAAGGAAGGAATGGTAGAATTTTTAGTTTCGTGTCTTGCGAACTTTCTTTGCCGCCCAGCCCATATGGGCTTATAAGACACCAGAACATAATCATAAACATAAGTACAGAAATCATAGAAACATAAATCCAAGTCCAAATCAAACGTCAAACTGGAGACATCAAATAAAGAACTTAATACAACGTTATACATAACATATGAAAGTCAAAAGTGCACGAAGGCAACTCAAAAGTGCATAAAGTCAACTTATTATTTTGTAATTTCCATATACTATTTGTACAAGTTTTTGTTATCAATATTTCATTTGACTATGTTGTGTTGTACACCAGGAAGAATACTACTAGTGTCAAAACACTAATGGGGATCCGAATAAAACAAACAAACAAACAAACAAACAAACATACCAGCCGCCGCCAGCCCAGCCCTCGGACCGTGACCTTGAGCGGCGCCGTGACCTTGACCTCCCGGTCCGCCCGAAGATGTCGCCCCGGCTTGGGACGGCCCGCCGGCTTCTTTCGGAGTTGTTTCTTGTTGGCCATCGACACTTCCGTCAGGCCCTGTTAAAAAATAAGGGAGCATTAGCCAACTTGTCTGGAGAGTGATTTAAACATAGATGTTTCTTCATTAGACATAACAAACAGTCTATGTCACACACACACACACTTACTTTCACATACTCTCTCTCTCCCTCACAATCACACACACACGCACACACACACACACACACACACACACGCACTCCTTCACACACAGGAGCGCGCGCACACACACAAACACCTACTCTGTTTCTCTCTCACACACACACACACTGATACAGACACACACACGCGCGCACATACAGTCTCATACACAGACTCACAAACACACACGCTCACTCTCACACACTCCCTGCCCCCCCCCACACACACACACAGCGACGGACACACACACACACACACACAGACGGACACACACACACACACACACACACACGGACACACACACACACACACACAGACGAACACACACACACAGACGGACACACACACACTCACACAGGCGCGCACTCACTCACACGCACGCCCACACATATGAAAATGTTTATTTCCAGAAGTAACTCTCATACAAAACTATTCTCTGTTACATGCGCCCAATGCGCCCGAAGAAACCACTTGATGGATATCAATTATACTGTCCAAGCACAGATTTACATGTAGGTACCAGTGCATAATAGAAAGCCCGTTTAAAAAACAATAAAAAGCCTAAAAACACACGCCAAAAATAAGCCAAAACGTCTGCTTGGAGAGTATATCAACTACACACTGGCATTTTTGACGGAAATATTGTTAAAGAGGGTTTACCGAGGATGACATACAACATACCAGAAGAAAAAGCAAACAAATAAAGCAAAAAAATTATAAACATATTTCTAAGTAACCATGCTACAAACCACTGTGTCCAAGTATAAACATGTAGCACAGACTCCTATAGTGGTGCAACGGTTTAGAGCGTTGAACTCGGAACCAAAAGGTCCTGGGTTCGATACTCGCCCCGACGTTGTGCCCTTGTGAAAGGCACTTTACACTATTTTCCTTTCCCTGGCGGTGGAGTAACGCCCACCGAGCGTCTTTGGTTAATCTGTCTAGAATCTGCTCCAATGTTTCAACATCTGCAAATTTGCTACCCAGAGCCGTAAAAAGAAATATACGGAGGTAATGAGATTCAAATATGTGAACGTACAGCGAATATTTTAAAGGCGTTTGGGCCAACGCATTTACACAACAACAACTGTAAACTGCGTCTTTTAAGACATTGTATCTATTGGTGGGCCTTTTTTATGTATGTTTACCTAGAGTGTACCCAAGCATTGTCATGGATCCTGTGAATTGACCGAATTTATACTGTTTTATACATAGCTAGCGTCCTTCGCAGACTTGTAGTAGCCTCCATAGCATGCCAAAAACTGGGGGTTTTGGGGGTCTTCATGGTCTTTGGGAGCTTTTATGTGCTATTTTCTGATTGCATATATAGACAACATAGCCGGCCTGGTTGAATTACCCTCGTTTTTTTGAACTGGGCTAATCAGAAAACAGCCGAAGACCACCAAGCCCCAGTTCTATAAGCCTGCTACGGAGGCTAGACTTGTAGGGCGGCGTTATTTTTTTTTCGGTGAGCGACGCGAGTTATGCCGCCGAGGGAAGGCTTTGCCGCCGAGGGACTCTGCCGGTAAGAGACGGTTTCCGCGTATCAAGAAAACCGTCTCTCCCCGGCAAAACTCTCTCGGCGGCAAAGCCTTCCCTCCGCGGCATAACTAGCGTCGCTCACCGAAAAGAAAAATAATGCCTCCGCCCTACAAGTCTGCGAAGGAGGCTAATTCAGTGCTTGAATCTGACATTCTATTTCTAACATAAAGATTTTAGATATAGTGATACAACAAATGTTTACTCTTTTTCATGTCAAGAATATGTTGTATACTAGTGTGCAATAAGACCTTTACGTAGGTAACCTCCACAGAAAATAGCCACATGGTTCCAATTTTGGGTGGACAAAAGTGAACACTAGTATGCAGTCAGCATGTCAAGACCTGGCAAGTACTCAATGTATAAATCTACACGCCTTACACACAGGTATTGCGCACAAGTTTAGCAAGAGAAAATATTTCTCCCCATTCGCCGCTGGGGTTTCGATTAGAAAATAAAGCAATAGGTGTACTATAAAACACAACAACAATTTTATGTTTTTAACCTTCTTTCAACTACTGAAGGCATTCTTAAAGCGAGGCAGTAGTATTCAACTAACCTCTACTTTTGTATGGATAATGTCCAAGGTCGATCAGGCTTTTTTTTTCCAACATGCGGTGACGGCACATTCAAATTTTTTCAACTTATTTTTATGCCGCCACCAACACAGGGGACAATACAGTACTCATTTTCACCTAAGTGAAGTGAGGCTTATAATTGGGCAAGTAAGGGATAGGACTATAAGGACTAACTAAAACACAGGCCTGATGGAATGGCATTAAAATATGATCATATCATGTGCATACACACATAAATGAAATTTGCAAAAAGACAAATACAAATACTAAATCTTTCAATTTTCACTTGCCCATAACTTCGAGGCTCAAAAGCACACATTTTCTTACTCACGATGCATTCTAAACTCCCTTTCTGGTCTATTTTCATGCGGTTTTAGACATGGCAGAGTTTCAACTGTTGTAGTTGAATATTGGCCGACACATGCACAATGAGGAAAAAACTGTTAACATGCCTGGATACTGATTTGCTCTCAGTATATTTTTAAAGTGTTACAGCACAAATTCGGTTACTTATTAAGGGTTCTGAAATGGTATTTTAGTATATTTTCTTGTGATTCTATACATGGCAGAGTTTCGACTGTTGTAGTTGAATATTGGCCGACACATGCACAATGAGGAAAAAACTGTTAACATGCCTGGATACTGATTTGCTCTCAGTATATTTTTAAAGTGTTACAGCACAAAGTCGGTTTGATATTATGTGTTCTGAAGTGGTCTATGCTTGGCAGAGCTTCGTCTGTTGTAGTTGAATTTTGGCCGACACAATGAGGAAAACCTGTCAACGTGCCTAGATTTTTCTCTCAATGCGCAGTGTATTTTTAAAGTGTTACGACACAAATTCGGTTTAATATTGTGGGTTCTAGATGGCCTTTCTAGTCTATTTTCATGCGATATCTATTGTTGACAGGGGGTTGTTTCTTGTATGTAGTTGAATTTTGGCCGACACAGTGAGGAAAACATGTCAACATGCCTAGTTTTTGCTCTCTTGCGCAGTGTATTTTTAAAGTGTTAGAGCACAAATTCGGTTTAATATTGTGGGTTCTAAATGGCCTTTCTAGTCTATTTTCATGTGATATCTATTGTTTGTTTCTTGTAGTTGGATTTTGGCCGACACAGTGAGGAAAACATGTCAACATGCCTAGATTTTGTTCTCAATTTCGTAGTGTATTCTTTAAAAGTGGAGTCGTCGACAGAGCGTTCAGCTCGGAACCAAGAGCTCCCGAGTTCGAATCCTGCCGTGCCAGCTCTTGGTAATGACACTTTACACGAATTTCCTCACTTCACTGAGGTGAAAGTGAGCATGTCTGTTGTCAGTTCATGCGTTTGTCTGCGTTGGTGACGACATAAAAATAAATTGAAAAAATTGAGCGTGCCGTTGCCATGTCTTGTAATACAATATAATAAGAGAAAAGTTGGAATAGACAAAAACGTGTTACACAAAGTAAAAGCACTTTTACAAAAAAAAGTGTTACTAACCTGACGGTAGATCGGCGCGGTACATGGGGTTGAGCGGTATCTTGTTGAGGTCTTCCCTCCGCAGCCTGTGCCGGTACACGCCCGCCATTTTCACGTCCCTCTCTTTCGGGAGAACAAACCGCCCTGCCGGGGTCTGTCCCTCGGCTTCATGTCGGGAGGGTCCCGATGGATTCTTTCCGGAGTGACGGGACGGTGGCCCGTGGCCAGTGGCCTGTCCGGAACGATTGGACGGTAGCCCAGAGTCCTGTCCGGAGCGACGGGACGGCAACTCATGGTCATTGAACTGTCCGGATCGACGGGGCGATAGATAGTGGTCAGTGGCTTGTCCAGAGCGACTGGACGGTAGCCCAGAGGTCTGTCCGGAGCGACGGGACGGTAGCCCAAAGCTCTGTCCGGAGTGACGGGACAGTGTCTCGTGGTCAGTGGCTTGTCCAGAGCGACTGGACGGTAGCCCAGAGGTCTGTCCGGATCGACGGGGCGATATCTCGCGGTCAGTGGTCTGTCCGGAGCCACGGGACGATACCTCGGTGGTCATTAACGATCCGGATCGACGGGGCGGTATCTCGTGGCCAGTGGCCTGTCCGGAATGACTGGACGGTAGCCCAGTGGTCTGTCCGGATCGACGGGGCGATATCTCGCGGTCAGTGGTCTGTCCGGAGCGACTGGACGGTAGCCCAGTGGTCTGTCCGAATCCGGAGCGACGGAACGATAGTTCAGAGGTCTCCCTGGACGGACCAGACGGATCTCCCGGAGTCTTCCCGCAGAGACGAGCCGGTTTTCCCGGAGTTTGTCCGGGGACGGGAGACGGCACCTTCCGATAGTGCACGGCGGAGAACCGACCTGAACCACGGCTGGTGGAATCTTCAATAAAAGTTGTTTCTTCGATAAATTCTGGGGCCTCGTGTGAGTCAGCCATCTCGGAGGCTATCTGCTGTAGCTCTTCTGTCGGAGCGCACGCTATGGCGGACCGTGAGCTTTACAAGCTCGGGCGCGGCGCAGAGCGCAGCTTTTTTCTCGATTCTCCTAAAGTACACTTTCATGAATATTTGCAACTCTAATTGTCTAGAAATTGGAGGCTGTGGTTTATGTCTAACCCTGTATTATTAGCGATTTCCTCACCTTATCAGGACATTTTACTACTGGACTAAAGACCAACAAAATTTTGTTACTGAAGCAACATTAAACAATAATTTCCTATACTTAAGAAGTCGTATTTGTCAGTTATTCCTTATGTAAAAAAAAAAAGAAATTTCATTTCCAATATTAAAGTTTATGTCGGGGTATCAAATCTTTCTTTATTGTTATTGTACAATAACCGACTATTATGTCATCAAGTTCACTTTGTATATGAGTTTGTTTGGCCAAGCACAGAAATTTCAAATCGACACAGAGCAGAAAGTTATTTCTTCCTAGTCTAAAAGTCTATAGCAGTATATAAGTTAAAACTGAGGAAGAAGCTGAATATTCAAAAGAAACTATAATAGATCAATATTAATCGTTATGTTGTCTTTCTACACATCGGGTAACAGACATAGTGTTTTGCAGTCAAGCAAATTTCACAGTGTGCTTGGTTTCTGGTAGATTGACTGGCGATGACAGTAGTGTGAGTTAATATAACGTTTTGTGGCGGTAAACTTTACATACAAATATACAAGTAGAGTCAGTTCAGATCCGCCATCTTGGACTGACTCCGCTTCCAGCCTAGTGCTGATGAGAAATACCACATTTTCCTTTGATGTGTGATGTCGGAAAAAAACTGCGACTTTGATTGTCTGGAAATGGAGTTTGGCATTTCCCACGTATTACCCAACAGGGTCGCTCACCTTGTAATTAGTTAGAAATTTCTAATTTTCTAAAAGTTATAGATATGTTTTATCGTAGTATATCATCATATTGTCAATATTATTGTAGAAACCGTCGATGTTGTTTCATCTGTTTCGTTGTGAAGAGCATTTTCCCCGCGCGGTATGTGAGTTGTGAGTACCGGCATAGCGCAGACTTGTTTTTCCTGCATATACCGGATAACTTGCGTCAGAACGGAGTCAGAAGCTGAATATTCAAGAAAACTTGAAAGAGATCTGGCTTGTGTGTAATTTTTCAATATACCCTGCGCGGGGGTGGAGATCAGTGATTATTAAATCATTCGCGTTGTTTAAGTTTTACCTGTTTTCAAAGCCTCTTTGAACAAAGTTTTGAATCTATATATATATCTCCAGTTGATGCCGCCCCTCCTCAAGCAAAGAACAACCTGGCTGTTCTCGCCATTCTTCCTAACCAATCTAATTCTAACCCTTAAGAACAAATTGTGGCTATAGTTGGTCATCCTTAGCTACTAGCTATGTGTCATTCGCAGCTATATCTTTTAAGGTAGAAGAAATGGATGGAATCTAAAGACATAACCTGTTTTGAAAAGTTTTTATGGCACCTGTTTGCTCTGCTAGCTGCTCGCAGTGTGCAGTTCTTTGTCAAGGTCACAAGTAACAAATTACCATTGGTTGACTGAGCTCGATCGTCAACTAATGTTCAATATGTTATCTCAGTTTCAAGGCTAATATGTGGACGTATGTAAGACTACTGCCGTCATTGGAATTCATAGTTCGCAATTTTAAACGAATAGTCCGGCTTAGGATGACATCTAGCGGCCCAAGTTAATATTGCAACTAGAAAGGTAACGTGCAAAGCAAATCATGCATAATGTTCACCTTCACATATAGTCTGCTCTGTTAATTCTTATTCATGGAGACAGGAGTCTAAATCCCTCCTGCTATAAAATCACAACATGATGTAACCCAACACCAGTTACCATGGTGACAGACGTCTGGTTCAGGTCGTCGACCTTATTTGTTTGGAGAAGAAGACGAGGAAACAGAGCAAAAACAATATGTTTAAAGAGAAACAACCAAGAAAAATCATCCAGCTCTGATGTTTACAAACACCTTTATTGACGATGAACATGGGGTAGAAAAGAACACCTGAACATACAAATATGTGTGACAAACCTAAGTAGAACTTATGATTGCTAAAGTGACCATATTTTTCGTTACCAACGTAAAATTGGCAACAGCTCCTAACAATAATCTCAGAATGCAGAATTTCTATGTATAAAGCAGCAGCATCGTTTTTGGAACACCGAAAGAGGAGTCTTAGAATTCATATTTACAGAACACACAACATTTAAGTTTCAAACAGTATAACATATACAGTACGGATATACAGTAGCAAAGTTGGAGGGAACCTCGTTTCAATTGTGCGTTTCGATGATTTGTCAACACCAGATCACCCATTGTGCGCATACACAGTATATGTTTCTATAATTCCTAGTAAAGGTATTAAAAATAGATGCAAGAACTCTAGTAATCTAATCTGTAATGCAAGAATGTATGTGGTCAGTCAACAGGAAGCGTCCATAATTTACTGTACATGTTTGTACGTAGTAGTCACAGATAAAATTTGTCCTGAAGTTGAACACGTATGTCTTAATTCTTAAATCTCACGATATGCTTCACTTTACAGAGGCGTTTCTGGAAGGAGAGCTAAAAATAAACATATCGGCCTGTTCCATTTTCAAGATATGTAAGGGGTGGACGGCACTATTGAAGAAATTTACTACACACTCGACCAAACTATTCTATATTGCGTCTTTTTTTTTACATCCCAGCCTTTTTCGTTGCCGCATGATTGATGAACCATGATTTAAGGTAATTTACCTACTCAAATGAACTAAATTTCATGCTAACATTTGAGATGGTATGTAGAGTGTAGACTCCTTCGCAGGCTGAATAAAATACTAGTAGTAGAAATCGGCCTAGAAGGAATGTAACTGGCCAAGGGAGATAGCCGGCCATAGAAGGTAAAAAAACAAAACAAATTGGACCCTGTATAGCCGGCCAACTCTCCCTGGCCAGTTACATTCCTTTCAGGCCGATTTCTACAATCTATTCAGCCTGCAAATGAGTCTGTTGGTACTCTCCACGCAGAGGTTTGAGTTTGGGGTTATTTTTAGCGTGTTTTTAGGCTTTTTTATTGAGGTTTCTCTTTTGCAGATGATTTTTTTCCACCAAACCCGACAAATCTGTTTGGTGGAAAAAGAATTTAGTTGAAAAAGAGAAACCCCGATTTAAAAAAAGCCTAAAAACACGGTAAAAATAACCCCAAAACCCAAACCTCTGCTTGGAGAGTACGATTTGACGGGATACCAGGTTTAAATAGCCTGCAAAGGAGGAGACTACTAATGCTGAGGTCACATGTCCAAACCGGGGCCCGACCGGGCTGGTTTTGGGAACGAAAAGTACGATATAAAAGTCAACAAGACACAGAAACGTTTTTGATGATAATCATGGGCACTATATCTATATACTCTTGATATGGATTGTTAATGTTTCGTTCATACAAACAGCCCGGCCGGGCCCCGGTTTGCAAATGTGACCTAAGCATAAGTATGTAGAGTTGGTCGCACTAGCCGCTGGACAACGCCGCCGCGATCTGCGCGGGAACGATGATGAACAGGTAGACCGGGACGATGATGAGAGCGATGATGATTCCGGCTATCCCGAGGCCCAGGGCGACCTTCCACAGAATCGTCGCCGTCCTGGCGGCCGCCTTCGCACCTTCTTTGTCTCCTGAGTCCCACCGGGAGTCAACCTGTCCACGAAATAGAAAGACACGCCTGTGAGTATGACCGGTCCAAAAAGACAGCCATTAATATTTTGTGTGCAAAAAGCCACAATTCTGTTCGGTCTCTACTTATGTATCCCTTTGGATATGCTATTGGTACTGTCTGAATCATCGTTATTTCGAAGTACATGTAGATCTTTTGGTGGCTGCAAGACAATCTGATATCAAATTGGCAGTACAGTATCCCTTTTGTGTAAAGAAAGTATAAAAGTGCAAAAAAAACTTAAGCCGAAACCTAAACATTTGCTTAAATTGGAGAGTAAAATCAATGTCATACATGATTTCACCGTTAACTCTGAGGTTTCGGGAATGAACAAAGTTGAAACTTTAAGCTTGCTCGCTGCGCCAAGTTGTACAGCAAAATTTATTATCGACTAGTGTTCGGGAGGCCAACTTCGTGAATGTGTGACAAGAGCTATATATACTCAGCATAAAGTCTACTGTATAAAGAAATCAGTCCGTAACCTGTTGTAATACTGTAATCTCCAAGCAGATCCTAGGTTGGCAAAAGACAGTATCAAATTGGCCAGGCGGTATCCATTGGCCAGAGAGGGTCCATACGCCACCCTTGGACACTGCCTGGCGAATTTGATACTGTCTTTTGCCACCCTAGGATCTGCTTGGAGATTAGTACACTGTGTAATACTGACCATGCAGGCGAAGATGATGGCGGGCAGACCGAGCGGACAGAAGCAGCAGAGGCAGGTGAAGATGGCCATGCCCAGCCCGCTGTCAGGCTTCGACTCCTGCATGATGATCATCGTCTGTGGAGCGGCGCCGACCTGGACGGGAGAGGGGGGGGGGAGGAGAGCTATTTTAGTACTTACAAACCTTACTTACATCCTTGCAACTACTAAGTACCTTTTTTTTGCTACTTTTAACAACTTTTACAGCCATATCCCCAAAATACACGGACCAATCACAAAGACAGACACTAAAAAATGATGTCTAAATCACTTAGACACAACAGGTCTTTAGACTGCCCTAGATATCACAGATGAAGTTTCTTGCCATTATTGTAGGATGAAGCTTAAATCTCCATGTACAATAAAGTACCTACTACCAACTCAGAAAAGAACAAGAAATAGCCATGCCTTCAAGTACCACTGCACGAAAAGTTGGATTTACCAAAGGTTGTAAATTCAGGTAATGTTTACTATGTACACAGTATCTGGCTTTACAATGGTAGTAAAAGAACAAGTACCAACCAAGGATTGTATGTACCAACTAAGGCGTTATCAACCAAGCATGAAGTCATGAAGGTGTTCAAAATCTCATTTGTTTTTCTAGAACTATTATACGAGTAGAGACATCATCAGTAGATACTCCCTAGCTTTAAATGGTTATGCCGGCTATACAGATACAGATACAGAAGTTGGTGTGTTGTGCTGAAGTTTGGTTATACCAGCTGTATATACTGATACACAGTGTGTGGGTCTCAGATTCGCAACCTGTTATCCACCTTAAACAAATCCACGCGAAGGCCACCATGTCAACTGTAACCCTCGCTCAGGTGTAGGTCATCCTACTCGGAAAATCTGTATCTGTATATCTGTACATAAATCTCTATCTGTGCATGAATGTGTATCTGTACATGAATCTGTATCTGATTGCAAATAAAGATATCGAGTAATTGCCATAGATACTGATACAGATTATTGTGTTAGAAAAAGCGTATGTTTGATATATATAATTTTGTTGCTGACGTACCACGACAGTCTGCTGCTGCATGCCGCCGGGCTGCATCATGCCGGGCTGCATCATGCCCGGCTGCTGGTCATATCCTGCTGGAAAACATGGCGGAGCCTTCATCAGTCAGACGTAACAAACATGGCTTAGCATTTCTATTACAACATTTATTACAAGACATGGTGACGACACACTCAAGTTTTGCCAACTTATTTTTATGCCGCCACCAACGCAGACAAACGTACTCATTTTCACTAGAGTTTTAAGTGGGGAAAGTCGTGTAAAGTGCCTTTCCCAGGGGCACAGGATCGGTGGCGTGGCAAGGGTTCGAACCCAGGACCTCTAGATCCGAGGCAAACACTCTGTCGTTACACCGTGGCCGTTACGCCACAAGACCCAAATATGCCACAAGGTCTAAGTAAGATTTGAGTTTATTGAAATAGTCTGTATGTAGGGTATATCTCCCAAGTCACAAGCCAAAGTTCGTACTTTATACACCTGATTTTCTGACAACTCTCCAGTGTCACTGACGAAAGGTAGTGAATGCTACGTTAAACGTCTGACCGTTTCCAAAATCATATCCAGTTGCTTGAGTAACTGTTTTTGGCGTAGCCAGAGCTGTGTACAAGACTTCCCCAAGAATGTCCTTAGGCTTGCTTATGTAAAACCTCGTACGACATGTTGGACAGTGCTTTTACTTATATAATACGCATCTAATCTGCGAATGTAGCGCCGGTATGGGATCTAGGACACGTGTTCGTGTCTGCTGCACATCGTGTTCAAATCGACATCGTTTGGTTGCGTTCTTCTCTCTTATGACCAGTCCAAAACAACAGCATTTTGGATAAAAACGAATGGGGAAGAGTTTTCAGGCGCCTGTGCATACGGAAGGGATAGATAATTACTGGTAGGCCAAAAGACTGTAATTATCAAACAGATATATGACTCCAGTGTGTTACGCCCTTTCGCTGGCTTTGTAAGTTCGGCAAGTATCTCGTCATTGTAACTGGACGTTTATTTCGTTTATACAATCCATACAAGTTCGTGTGTTTTGGCAACTTTACGTCTATATATACACAATATGACGCAACTTCCCAATGGAATAATTCAAGACTACACAAATGTAGAATTGACTGTATCTCGTGTTTGTGCGGTTACTAGGGACTTAGGAGAAAAATATGCTAATGAAGACATTTAGGTCAATCCACCCGGACAAAGCTTGTCACGCAAATACCCAGAGGGATTTTAATTGCCAAAGGATGACCCCCTTTTTTCCTAAGCATTCAGAAATGTATATCCTAAGCGTTAAGCTGGAGTATTGACAAAGCGTCGTCTTTATACACACTACTTTATGTCCAGTCTCATGCCTCACTACGTTTCCTAAACCATTACGCATTGTCTGAGGTTTACGCATCCTGACCCAAGATTCTGCCTAGGGTGTCACCGTTGCTAGGACACAGGTAAACAACGAAAATGGCCACGATATACAAAAACTGCACAGCAACACAAAAGCTAACAAATCCAGAGTATTAAAAAGAAAATTGTCTTCAGGGAACTTGTGAGATAAATCTTGTCTAATGATAAAATAGAATTAAAGAGATTTTATTCATTTTAAACTCGAAGAAATTTAAAAGCACCCACCCAGCGAAACAGAACGAAAAAGAAGCATGCATGCTTTATTTCGTTTCCTTTCAAAAATCCTCAGAAGCCCAACCTCCTCTGTTACATCAAACAAAAATGTTTACGTTTTAAGGATACGACAGCGCTACAGTAGAAGCAACTACTAAACAAAACACGGCAGGTGTCCACATGCATGGTGGCACGGAGTTGTCTACGCATAGTCTTAACACTCTTTCAAGTAAGGACAAATCGTATATCCAATCCTCCCGTTGCTCGTTTTCTGAGTTGTTCGTGTCAATGCTAGCTTCTTCTATACACGGACACGTTTAGTGGAGTATATTTCGTGTCGTTTTACTAGTAAGAATAACTTTTAATACAAGCGCACGTGGTATGTCGAGAACCGTGACAGATGAAACAAATGTAACGATGTCTTATATACAAAAGTACATCGCCCAAGCTTTGCTGCACACACTGCAACCATTTAAAGGCCATTTTCAGCGTTTTGATACACGTGCGAACAAGCTTCTTGTATAGAATTGAAAAGAAGTGACTAAACGAAAAAATATGTTAACATACCTGGTGCAACGCTCATGTTTCTTGTTCCAAATGAATACTAGTAGAATTTCTCAAAAGTAAAGTCCGAACGTGGATCGAACACCGGCAACTGTTGGATGTTAAAATTGGTAAGTTTGAGGTGGGATCCGCGTGTGGGATCGGGAGGATGTCTTCTCGTTCTCCGAGCGTTTGATACTTAATCGCTGCAGCAACGGATATTATACCACATCCAACACAAAACTGGGGTTACTTGGAGACAACCGCTACGTCACGAAAAGTGGGCGTGTCGACAGGGCAGTTTCCGGCGGAAGTGGTCGAACCATAGCCTCTACCAGGCTTCGGGAGGCGGCTGGAAAGTGTAGAAATTGGCCAAAAATGGCTGAAAAGAGTAGACATTGGCCCAAAATAGCCACATTTTGCAAAATATACTCTCTAGCGAACCAACTCCCCGGCATGTTATCTCTCTATATTTAGCCAATTTCTACATTTCCAGCCGCCTCCCGAAGCCTGGTAGAGGCTATCGGCCTGTCCCTGCAGTGGTCCGTGTAGCCAGGAAACAGAGCTAGCTAATTTCAGCCAACAATGTAACAATATGTCGACGTGTAATAAAGATATAGATTCACTTTATTGTAGATCGTAGTTGATATTGTTGTGATACAAATATTTTTAATCGTTGTAGGAAAGTTTCTGCGTTTTGAATTCATGACTGAAAATAAATATACATACAAATATGTACGTTGCTACTACTTTTGAATTTGTATGCCTGCACTTAGCCCAAAGGTGCAATAAAGGTTATCTATTATTATTATCATTATGGATGGATTAATAGTCAAATATAGATGTACAGATAAGGATACTTATATTAACTAGCACGCAGTACAGAGTACAAAATCTTCACTTTTCCAAAAAAATGTTGTAAAATACAACATACAATGTACATGTTGTAATTTTTTTTTTTGATGTTGAAAATTTAAGGAAAGCTAGGGACTTTTTGTCTAATATCTGTAAATTCTTTGTTTCCATAACTTTCTTAGGGGGTGCAAACGCAATATACACTGTGAATTGTAAAAAGACCGCAAAGGACCTGTTACACCAATATCTTAAATATAATGGCCACGAAAGTTATGGAATAATTTGCTTGTTTTATACCTGAAATTGCTATGTTTATCTTATACACCTTTTATGGGGATGAAAAAAAAACACTATGAAGTGTAAAAAGACCACAACCAACCTGTTACACCAATGCCTTAAATATAATGGCCGCTAGTTATGCAATAGATTTCTTGTGACCAGTGACCACCCCCACCGATTTGTGGTTCAGTCCATCCACACCCATTTCTAGCAAAGCCTCAGGGGAGCTCTGTTGCCATGGCGATAGAAACACAACAGACGTAAACAGACATCGGAGGACCAGTCAATCCAGTTTCAGTAGATGAGATCGTTGCAGCAATTGCCAAGGCGCATACAATGCAATGTCTTGTTTGTAGGCTAGCTTCATCTAATAATTTGTTATGCTTTATTTTAAACATACATGTACTAGTAAACATTAGCTTCTGCCAGGCGTCGGGAGGCGACTGGAAAGAGTAGAAATTGACCAAATAGAGAGATAACATGCCTGGGGAGTTGGTCAGCTAGAGGGTACATTTTGCCTTCCGAAGTCTGGTATAGGCTAGTACACATACATGTTGTGATGTTGATCTATTTTACCCACCACTTAGAATTCACATCTCAATATCATCACATTACATCACATCTAACAAGAGATCTGAGATCACATACCTCCATGAAATATGGGCTTGACGTGTAAATGTAAATTTCCTCTTTAATTATGCAAATGACCTCCACATTAACATAATTAATGTATCGTGATGTTAACTTTTGATGAATTTACAATTTACACCAAGTAGGAAATTCCCATCATTTAAATTACCCATTGAATTTTCGCATTAATTATGCAAATGAGGTCATAATTTGCATTATTGGTATCTGTTGATGTTCCATCTGCCAAAGATTACATACATTACATGTATTAAAGTACTACAATGTAAAACACTGTAATTAGAGAATTTCCTCATTTATTATGCAAATAAAGTCCTCATTTGCATAATTTGCATTAAGTTATGTACATCTCTCTCAGCTACCTACCTACCAAAAATGATGAAAATACATTGTTCCTGTCTGGACCTATTGGCTTTTAAAGATTTTCCCCCGAAAGTCCCCTGCAGTTTCAGAACAAGCTGCTAGGGGAACCAAACCCACACCAATTATTCCTGGCAGGACAATCTATCTGCCACCCAAAAATCAAGACCATAACATGTTCAGGACAAAAGATACAAAAACCGGAAGTTCTGCTGCACTACCAAGGTCATCCACCAGGAGGCCCATATTTGACCTTGATCTTTGGCTTCCTAAGACCTACCAGCATACCAAATATCATCACAATCCATAAAGGCGTTATGGAGTTATGCTGACTACAAATATGCGGAAACTCAAACACACACACACATAGACGCGCCAAAAACAATACCTCCATTTTCATGGAGGTAACTAGATCTCAGTGCCAAAATTACGTCAACACTGGGTGTCCATCCACCCTAACACTCAAATTTTCCACATCATAGCGCACAGAGGTCGCCTTATTCCCTGAGGAAGAACCTCTCATTAATCAAACCAGGTCGCAAGCCCGGGGCAGCCTCGACACAATCAGACATCTGTTACCCTGTCTGGCAGACTCCTCATTAAACCGGAAGTGCTGCTGCAGTACCAAGGCCATCCACCAGGAGGCCCATATTTGACCTTGACCTTCGCCCCCCTAACACCTACCAGTATACCAAATATCACCACAATCCATAAATGCGTTATGGAGTTATGAAGGTACAAAAAAGCGGAAACACAAACACACATACACACACACACACACACACACACACACACACACACACACACACACACGCACACAGACGCGCCCAAAACAATACCTTCCATTTCATGGAGGTAAAAATAACACGGACAACTGACATTTATATGCGCAGATACATGTGCGCATTTCATGCATATACAGTAAATGCTTTCTATATGTACCAAAATCTCATATATAGTAGATAGATATTAGTCTGAGTTACACAATCTCTTGCGTGTGATCATCTCCAAGAAACGGGAGGGACTGTAAAAAAATCGACCGGTCAGAAAAAAAACTTAACAATCGTGTAGCAAATTACACATGCTTAAAGGGTACCTGTCATGGGCTGTATAGGCTGAAACAATGAGGTTAGAAAGGGAAGCAAAGGTTTCAAAACGTGGTTCTCAGACAACGAATCAGACAACATGTTCTCCAAAGAATTATCGTGCCTCAATCAACTTCTATTTCTGTGCATCTTTTGTGCGTCCACGTAAAGTAATCATGTCCCTAGTAACAAAGTTGTCGTGCTATTGTTTGTGCATTGAGGAAGGGGGGAGGGAGGTAACGTTACATTCAACCCCGTCGGGTTGGAATAGTCTCTACCAGACTAACTACGCTGGCTACTAGTATATATAGGAGAATATTTGCCAGGGGAGTTTGGCCGCCTTGTAGGTTTGACTGGCTGCACAGGAAAGAAACAACTTTCCGCGGCCGGAATCCCTTGGCCAATTTTACGCTCCTTTATGCCGAATTCTGCGATCCGTATTCCCTTAGAAATGCCTGGTGGAGGCTAGGGTTGGATTGAGTCCTTTCGGTCGTTGACCCTGTGACCTCGGTTGGTATTTGCATAATTGACCTGCGGGCCCTTTTTGACAAAAGATGCGTCAGTCGAAATGATGTACACATATGAAGCACTCAAGGACTGTGTGGATGGCTACATCCATAGTCTTCACCACCTAACTATCAAACAACGCGGTCTGAAAAATAGTATAATTTAGCCAAATATGGAGAATGATTGGCTCGTTCGTTTGTCAGTTTACTAGTATTAGTCAACTATATTGTCAATGTAACATTAACATCACATAGTCTTATAAGTCACTGCATTTCATATTCTAACAGCGAGCGATAGATTGAACAGAACTGTAATACGTTACAAGAACCATGCAAAGGACGTCCTTAAAATCACGTAATCCCCGATCTAAAATGACAACTCACTCACTCACTCACTCACTCACTCACTCACTCACTCACTCACTCACTCACTCACTCACTCACTCACTCACTCACTCACTCACTCACTCACTCACTCACTCACTCAATCACTCACTCACTCACTCACTCACTCACTCACTCACTCACACAACTACCAATTAAATCAGGACGTGGAACAGTCAAGGTTAAAGTCATGAGATATGAAATGCTTCCGAAAGATACTAGGAATCCCATACATCAGGAACTTCGCATTCATTATCCAGCTTTTCCCAGTTTCTGTCGTGCCATGCTGGATCAAAAGTGGCTGTGTGTTCGGGTAAGTATGATTGATAATAAATATATCGATCGTTTGCTTATTATTTATCAATTTTGTTTTCAAATGGAGGCCTTTTCGTATGTGAGGGTTGTTTTTTTTTTCTTCCAACATGTAATCATCAGACGTGGTGACGGCACACTCAAGGGACAAATACATGACAGGACAATACTCATTTCATCACTTCGCACCTGAGCGAAGTGATGAAAGTCGTGTAAATTGCCTTTCCCAAGGGCACAAGATCGGTGGCATGTTGTGAGGTTGTGTTGACGGCAGTGCTCGACTCAGACGTCCTGACATCCACCGATGAGTCTCCAGTCATTCGGCATTTTTTAACAACCGATCATCATGTTTTTTCCTGCTCTAGTAGTAATTTTATGTTTCCAGTGGCTCCCTTTAAAGATGCTGAAAAACCCTGATGACGTAGTTAGTATGTTGACGCAAAATTGACCCTAGCCGGTATTGGTGTGCGACAAAAACTTCATGATATAACAGCCTACAAATTCTTTCAATAACTCCTGCAACTTTATTCCTGGTGTGTTTAAAGAGTTCATCCTCCACATGACAAAGCACACAAATAAATGAACAAAAAGGGAACCGAGAAAATCTATTCACAACGGTTTAGGATTAACAAATAAACAAAAAAGAAAACCATGAAAATCTATTCATAACTGTTTATGATAAAATTGCAAATAAATAAGCACCCAGAGCCAGGCCGCCGATCTTGTGTCCTTGGGAAAGGCTCTTTAGGCCACAACAAGTAATTTTATGAATGACATCAGCACGCGCAATGATTTTCGGAGAATGTCATCCATATTCACTGTGGCCTTACACGAATTTCCTCACATTACTCAAGTGAAAATGAATATGTCATGTTGTCCGTTCCTGCGTTTGTCTGCGTTCAATAATGGTGGCGGCATAAAAATAAGTTGAAAAACTTGAGTGTACACCGTCACCATGTCTTGTAAAAAATATTGGAATAGAAAAAAAAACACCCAGTGGCGACGAAGGAAAACACGTTATTAACCTATCTCGCTGAAAAAAAAAACGATAACGTAAAGCTCTGAGAAACTACTAGAAAGTACATTCTTTCTAATCTAGGTCTTGAACATTTCTTTTCTCTTTTTAAAGCAACTTGAGATGAATTCACATATAGTTTTTCTTTAAAAGAAATAGGCACCCAGTGGCGATGTAACATTGAGAGGTAAAAGAGTGCCGCTCCAGGGATGTCGAATTCGGAAGATTATATTCGAGGACGAATCTTGAAAAGGAAAGGGAGAGTAGTGTAACAGTGTGTGTGTGTGGGGGG